AAAGTATAAAGTAAGAGCAAAATAAAAGATAATAGGAAGTAGGGAAATCGATCTTTCTCAAAGGGGAAGGATCAAGACATGGAGGTAGAGGGAAAGCAGTTGACGGAGTTAAATGTGCTGTATCTACGCAACAGCGCCACACAAGGAATGAAAGCATTATGCATGGCGAACATGGACTAACATGAAAAAAGACCTGGCCAGGAGCTTCCCCGACACACAAGTTAATGAAGTCCTAGTTGATGAAATCCATGGGAAGAGAAAACCAAAAAGCCTCTGGGGGGAAGAGAGTGGAGCAGACCCATGTGAGGCATGAGATGACTGGAGGAGGAGCGAGATTTTGTAGTTTTAAAAGTAAGACTTGCAAGGGCCAGGGATTTAGCTCAGTAGTTCTGCCACCTGCCTTGCAAGCGCAAGGTTCCAAGTTCGATCCCCAGTCCAAAAAAAAAGTAAGACTTGCTGCCGTCAATTTAGCTCAGTGGTTTCGCTGCCCCCTGTGCAAGTGCAAGGTCCAGAGTTGATCCCCCCGTACCAAAAAAATAAGACTTGCTGCCAGGCGTGGTGGTGCACAGCTATGATCCCAGTGCTTGGGAGGCTGAGGCAGGAGGATCACCACAAGCTCAAGGTCAGCCTGGGCTACACAGCGAGCTCAAAGCCTGAACTACACAGTAAGACCCTGTCTCCAAAAACAAACAAAAAAGGACTTGCCAGCCCACTAATTATATATAGCCTCTGAAAATACCAAAGCTGAAGTAACTTGCAAGTAACTTACACTATAGTTTCTTTGTTCTCCTTTTGTGGAAAGTGTTGGACATGTTTATTATGATAATCATAAAGATGAATTTTATGGAAAAAATACTGTCTATAAACCCACTAACCTACAGTTGTCACATCTTCATGTTTAAAAAATTCCATTTGTGTGTACATGAATTTTCCACCTTTGTAAACTTTACACAGTTGCAAAAAAAAAAAAAAAAATCAAAACTCCAAACATCCCAATAACAGAGCCCAACGGAAATGCTAACAAAAACAGATACATATCAGGGGTAACTGGGTTTAATTGACTGATGTCATCTGAAGAAGTATTTCTGTCATTGTGGAGGGGCCTCCGAGACACCCCCAGCCACCCATCTGGCCCCTCAGGACCCACAGCCCTGCTGACTCCCCTCCCACGAGGGTGGGCTGGACCCACACTTGCCTCCGTGGACAGATGTGGCAGGAACTAGGATCTGGCGGACCCTGAGATGGCACTTGGGAGGCTGTGGTCCCTGGTCTTTCTCAGGGTGCCCTCTGTCTCTTCTGTTGTCTTTCTGGGGACCCAGCCACCGGGTTCTGATGCAGCCCTGGGGGGAGCCCAGCAGAGCTGGGGAACGGGCCTGTGAACAGGCCTGCAAACAGCCACCCAGCAGGACAGACCCGGGCCCCATAGAACCTAACGAGGCCCTGAGCCAGGACACGGAGCTCGCCACAGGCAGATTTCAGACCCACAGAAACCACCGGCTGATACTCATTTGTTATGGTAAACTATGGCATTGTGGATAGGTAACCAAGCTAACCATTCACCTCACTGCTTGAGTTTTCATAGAATATCATGAGTCACACCAGAATAATGTTGGTACCTTTGTATTTTATATATTATTTCAGGTATATTTTTGGGCTTCTTGAGACAAGGCCTCACTATGTAGTTCAGGCTGTCTTTGAACTCACTGTATAGCTCAGGCTGGCCTTGAACTCTCAGCCATCCTTGTATAACCTTAGTACAAACTTAATTTGTATAGTTATTATAAGCACATAGCTATTTTCTAGCAAGTTTTATACTTATTGAAGTCACTTTCATACAAATCATTTAAGGCAATACTGGGGGGATTGCAATTTCTTCCGTTGGTAAATTTTGGGAAAGCTGATAATGCGTGAGTGTGGGCAGGCTCACAGAGGCGGGAGGTGGCAGCCCTGAGGGGCAGAGGCTTCCCTCGTGGGCGCTGAGGCCTGGGAAGCAGGGCTTTCTGGTCCGACATGCTCCCCCCTTAACATTCAGATCAGCAGAGAGAGGCTTTATCTAGTAGCAAAACCAAGGGGCTCTAACACCCTGCTTCTCATCACCGGAAAGGCAGCCTCAGGAGCTCTCCTCAGGCTCTGAGGACGCTGCCTAAGCTGGGCCTCCCAGGCCTCTTCAGCTCTGCCTCTGGTTCCCATCCACTCTGCTCCTTTACTCCGACTCACACCTAAGACCACTGGCTCGGCTGCCAAACGCCCCTTGGTTTCTCCGACTCACACCTAAGACCACTGGCCTCTGCTGTGTGGGCACCTGCATCCGGGCACTCTCTGCCACAGCCAGGACTCAGGAGGGGGGACCAGGCCCACCCAGGAGCCTCAGATGCCCTGCAGCGCTCAGGGAGCATTCCTGGTGCAATTCGGCTCACCCGAGGACACAGCGGCCGCCCCAGGATCCGGGATGGGGCGCACACTACAGGCTCATAAAAGGGAGTGACAGCGATTGCAGAAGTAATCACCTCAGCAAACATCGCTCCTTTTCAAACTTTCCTGAGAGAAACAGTTCAAGTCAGAGGACGCAAGTCAGAGCTCAGGAGGGGCCCTGGGGTGAGGAAGCGGGGCCTTGCAGGCCTCGGTTATTTCCCGCTCTCCCGACTCAGCTGCACTGCAGCTTCCTGCCTGGGCTAGGGCGCCCCTGCAGACAGCACCCCTGTCTCTCCAGGGCCTCCACACCTGCGAGAGTCACATCTGCCCTGGGAGTCCTCACGCTCAGGCGACCCACGCCCACGCCTGAGAGGCACTCAGCCTCAGGGTGCTGTGAGAACAGCTGTGTTCACGGCCAGGTGCGGCCAGAACCCGGGCCATCGGCACAGTGCACCTGGCACGGAGAGCAGAATGTCCTCCCTCCCCGGGGAACGCTGGCCGGCCCACCCACACACCCGAGAAAGCCCGATCACCACCGACACTCAGGAGTGCTTGAAAAATACCAGCCCGACGCAAAAGGCAAAACCCGGAAAGGAAAAAGTTATGGGAAAAGTCAGAGGAAAGACGAGCTCTGTGGGCCAGCCCACGCACGCCCATGACAGACGTGCTCCTGAGGGGCCAGGTCCGCCGTCCGCAGCGCGCTAACCCCCGCCGGCACTCGCCCCCCCCCCCCCAAAACACCCTGTACAAACGCCCCTGTGCTTAAGAATCACACAATCGAAATGCTTCGACTATTAGCAGTCTTTGGGAGGAGAAGGAGCACGTTATATGTCTTTTGGCAGATTTTTCATTAAAAATGCTTTGAACCTGGAGGTTTCCCTTCACTGGGAACAGGCTGGTGCAGGTCCTGGCTCTGACAAGCCCAGGGCCGTCAGGAGTGGCAGCCAGGCACTGTGCCCACTGGGCGCTTCTGCAGAAACACGGGGCCACTGCCCTCAGTCATGTGGGGTGTTCTGTGGGGTCACCTTCTCCCCGGGAAGCTCCCGCCCCAGCCGCCAGAAGCAGTCACAGGACTGGCTTTTAACAGCTCTGTCCATGGGTCCCCGAGAAATTCGGGGCCCTGGAATCCCACTGGCTGGTCCCAGAGGGTCCCCGGGAGCTTCCAAGTCAACATACAACCTGGAGTGGATTAAAAGTGCCCTGGTGACAGGAAGCCAGGCCGGAGGACTGTTCCTTCAGCACTTTGATTTCCAGTTATTGCTAAACACTTGCCCCCCCCCCCCCCATTCCAGTTGCTTGTAAAACTCCATATAGCAGCTGGGCTGAAGACATGGGAAGGTAAACGCTTGGGAGTCAGGGAGACCTCCCTCCACTTCCTGGCTAGGTGAGGGCCCTGGGGGGCTTTGAGCCCCTAAGGAACTAGGTGAGCGCTCTGGACCTTGGGCTCTGGTCTCCAGGATGGGCTGCAGGGTGAGGGTCATGGAGGAGCTCCCAAGCCAGGTAGAAAAGACAGCAGTGTGGCCACAGAGTGGGCTTCGGGGAGGAGGCCCAGGTGGGACCCAGCATGCAGCGGCCAGATGGGGTCTGGGTAGAAGTGGGGTCGGGCGCCTGCCCCTCGTTGCTTCTCCCACACTCACCGAGCTTTCCTCGTCGACTCTCTGCAGTGCCTGGTACTGGTGGCCCCGGGCCAGGAAGGCGAGTTTCTGCAGGAAGCCAAAGCGTCTCTCGCCCATGGTGAGCGGGCGAGGGCTCCCCGTGAACTGTCCTGCCCCCACCCCCGTGTGCTCTTCTGGCCCCTGTTAAGGCCAAAAGCCTCCAGCTGACGGCCAGCCGCCTACCTGCCCGCCTCAGGTGAGGCCCCGCCTCTGGGCAGGGCTGCGTGGGGCGGGGCTCCCTGCCCCTGGCCCTGCCCAACTAGAGGGCAACCCGGAGCCTTTGGGGCCGTTGCAGAGGCCAAGGGAGGCTCCGAGCGAGGGCTGTGCGGTCTTCCTGAACTTGCCAGGTCCTGGGAATCACCTGTCGGGAAGACGAGGTGGAGCCAACGCTTGTTGAAACGCTTCCCAGACCCGCCCTGCCTGAGTGATGGGGTGTGGGTGCTCCGCAAGCCAGGTTTCACCAGGCCGGGTTCCGGGCTAAGTGAGGCCAGCACTGACCTCTGCGCTGAGCTGACCTCCCGCCTGCTCCGGGGTGGCTCCTCCTGCTGTCTTGCCTGCCTGGAACTGAAGCTGGGCAAGGGCTGAGACCTCACCTCGGCCCAGGATGAGGCCCAGAGTCAGCAGAAGAGTTTGGGCCCCGGGCGACCTCAGGCCCCTGTCCTCGGGCAGAACCGTCCCTACCACCTGCTTCTTAGGTTTTCTGAGCCTAAGTTCCCGTCAGCATCACCCGGGCTCGTGTGCTGCTGAGACCCTGAGAGTGAACTGAGGTGTGGGCGGGCGGATTGCAGCAGCCTGCAGGTGCCCTGGGAGGCGGAAGGGCTCAGGCTTCACGACAAGGAATTCACGACAAGGGCACCGCTCAGGAGGAGGGAGGTGGGGCCCCTGCCCTGCCTGGGCTCCCTGGGCTACTGAGGAAAGGGGCTCGTGGCCACAGGGGAGGGACAAGGATGTCTACGGTCCCTGAGCGGCTCCCACCAGCCAGCTCCCTCGACTGCTCCCCCAGGGCTGGCAGCCACTCCACACCCAACCCCTGGGTAGTTCTTCAGCCCTTTGGGTCTTCCTTGCATCTCCCCTTAGAATAGTGGTGGCAAACCTACAACACGAGTGAGCAGGCTGATGGTATCATTGAAAGCTCCAAAAGGTTCGCCATCACTGCTCTCAAAGGTCCTGCACCATGCTGCCTGGCCCGTCAGGTCCAGCACGGGGCGGGACGGAGAACCGGAGGAAAAGGTGTGGGTGGGGTGTAGGGGGAGGGAAAAGGGCTGGGCCCTGACCCCAGGGAGATGTTGCTACCATGCCAGGCCTGAGGGCCGACACCCAGAGAGGGCTGTGAATGGGGTTGGGAGGGTCAGGGGAAGCCAGAGGGCAAGGGAGCCACTGTGCACCAAGCACTCGGAGGATGAGCTAGTGCTTGCACGGCGAGGGCCCAGCGGTCGGTGCTGGAGCTGTGTGTCCGGGAGAGTCCTCAGCAGGTTCCAGTGGTGACATAAAGAGCGCACGGACCCTCGCCTCCCTTCTTGCAGACTGTCCACAGGCGTCCTGCAATCCCGAGCCTGCATTGGATCCGGGGAAGGACACCCCGTCAGATCCCATCCCCGTGGTTGTTGTGCCAGTCACAGGGGTCACAGCTGGAATTCGTGGACCCTCCGAGGATGCCAGGGCATTCAGAGGAACGTTCGACGCCCAAACTGTTGTGTGGAAAACAAAACAGGACTGGTGCACAAAGCAGTTAGAGACCAGCATTGGGACCTGAAGCTTCTGGATGGGGACCTTTAGGGGTAAACCTGTTTAAGGCTTTGTTTTGCATGGTGATTAGAAAATGTAGCCGGTACACGCGGCTCCTAAGATTTCTTAATTTATTGAGCCTTTATGACCAGCGTGTATGGCGTTTCTATAAATATTTCTGCAGCGCTAGAAAAGCCGGTGTGTTATTTGCAAGCATATTCTCTATTCCAACTTTCGATTACGCACGTGCTTTGTGACACGTCAAACACCGCCGTCTGTTTGTGACTGCGGGCTCTGACACAGGAAGTCCCTCCTGCCCGGCTTTCCCTCACGTGTCCAATGTTTCTGTGTCACACTACCAGTTACTGTATCCGCCTGGCTTCTCTCAACTCCTTTCACGGTTTACTTCTATGCCTTTGCGGCAAGCACTGTTCCATCGGCTTTCATCTTTGATTTTGGAGCATGTTTATTCCTAACACTCCAGTTAGGCCTGCCATGTACATTTGTTTCCAGTGTCTTTCCTTTGGTGCCCTTGTGTGGGAGACCAGAGGAGAATTAAGGCTTCCTTGGCCTCCTCTGTGAGTACAAGGAAGAAAGGCTGCACTCAGGGGTGATTGGATTTGCGTATTAGGGAAAAGTTAAGGCAGCTGAGGTTAGGTTGTATGTGCTAATGGATATTGGAAAGCAGATGAACCTTGTGTTGCTTTAATCGCTTGTGCCCGTTTTGGAGTGAATAAAGGTGATAAAGGTGAGATGAGCCAGAAGCTAGGGGCTCCTCTGCCTGGTCGAGGCGAGAGCCCCCTGGCTGCCCAGGTCAAGCTGACTGAGTCTCTGTCACTCTTCCTCATTCAGCCCCGGTCAGGGAGAGCAGTGGAGTGGGTATAGGTCCCGGAACAAGGCTAGCTGGCCAGGGGGGTTGGCCACGGCGCCAAGGGGCTCACCTATGTCCTTCACTTTGGATTCCATGGTCATTATCACTGACTTCAAGATTGTTTCTCCAGGGCCAGGGGTTTAGCTCAGTGGTTTTGCCGCCTGCTGCGCAAGCGCAAGGACCCCAGTTCGATCCCCGGTACCAAAAAAAAAAAAAGAAGATTGTTTTTCCCGCCTTTAGCCTGGAGAATTTGGGACCGCTCTCAGGGAGCCTCGTAGACGGACAGCTGGCCAGGACAGCTGGCCAGGAAGGAGAGTCAAGGGCAGGACCGGCCAGAAGATCCAGCCTCTCTGGAAATGTCTGCTCTGGGCACCCTGGAGCAACCAATGTGGTCCTGCAGGCCGCCTCCCTTTCACTCTCCTTTCATCACCCTAAATTACCTCCTGACAACGCACGGTCTCCCAGGCTTCCGAAATGTACTTGTCCATAGCCTCTCTGGGAGTCTGGCACTGCAGGCCGCCTTTTCAGAAGGGGGTGTGGGACAGGGGTGGGGCCTAGACAGGAATTAGGGTGAAGTTATGACCGCTCCATTCTGCTTGTCAATAGCAGACTACACAGGGAACAATACAGTCATTTTATAGATGCGGAAGTCAGCACAAAGGAGGTTTTCGTTCATCCAACAAATGCTTTTAAAGCGCCCACCTGTGGAGACAGAGCTGCGAACACCACGGGCTGCGTCCTGCCCTGTGTCTGGTCTCCTACTGGGCGAGACACGCTGCAACAAGTCCAGGCATGGCCCGGTTCCTGGCTGCCAGGATTCGGCAAAACCCCAGGAAGACGCGTCCGGTCCTAACCCCTGGGCACGCTGACCATGACCCATTTGGAGCAAGGTCTCAGGAAGCCGTCCTGGATCAGGGCCACCATCTGGATTCCAATGGCGGGGTCCCTGGGGCACGGGGAGAGGAGGCGGGCAGCTGATGATCCAGGACACCAGCACCAGCCGAGGGACAGGGGCAAGGCAGGCAGCCCCGGGGGGCAGAGGTGGTCCTGCCACGCCCACAGTTCCTCTCCCCTCCAGGGGAAGCAATCAGAGTGGCCGAGTCTCCAGTGACTAGCCCAGGGCTGCTGAGAAGCTGGCGGCTCCCAACATAGCTGTTAGCGTACAGGGAGGCACCGTGTTCAAAGCCTGGGTGTCCGTCGGCAGAGAGACTGTGGCCTGGCCACGGAGCGAGCTGCCCCCGCGCCAGGAAGCACTGAGGCCCCAGCACAGACACCTGGGAGAGCACCCAGGAAGGGGGCCCACGTTCTGCCTTCCAGGAATGGTCCTGCACGGGCAAGTCCACAGACCAGGGCGACTCAGGCTGCCTGGGGCTGGCGGCAGCTGGGGGCAGCTGGGGACGGGAGTCTCGTCGGGGTGAGCAGAGTGTTCTGGAACTTTGCAGGGCTCTGTCTTGTCTGTGTCTCAACTCACCAAGCCGCACGCCTCGGGGAAAGGCGGTCGTGTTTTTATTTATTTTTATTGGTGCCCGTTTGCAGAACATGACTACCTTCACTGGAGAATTGGTCCATGTGTAACATCCCAGTTCTTCTTTCCTCCTTCCCCTCCACCCGCTTTGAAAATTTTTTTTTTGCCAGCATCAGATTCATTTATTTTATAAATCTTTATCAAGTTAATTATCATAAACACAGATTAATGGCTAAACAGGCCAAAAAACATATAAAACACAGAAGTCAGTTTTACTGAATCGAGGTACACTTTTAGATACATTGGCCATGCTGGCTATAACTTTTCTCCCTCTCTTTTTGTTTTCTAACTGTCTTTTATTTTGTACTTTATTTATATATTGGGTTTCTCATATAAGAGAAACCATGTGATATTTAAGCTCATGTGTTTGATTTATTTCTCTTAACATTATGGTCTCAAGGTATATCCATTTTCCTACAGATGACTCAAATTTATCCTTCTTTATGCCAGAGTAGTACTCCATTGTGTATAAATAGCACAATTTCTTTATCCATTCACCTGTTAATGGACATATAGGTTGTTTCCAAGATTTATCTATTATGAACTGTGCTGCTATAGACATGGGTATTCATGGATCACTGTAATACAATGTCTTTAATTCTTTCAGGAAAATACTTAGAAGGGGAATAGATGGGCCAAATGCAATTTCTAGTTTTAGTGTTTTGAGGACTCTCCATACTGATTTCCATGGTGGCTGCATCAGCGTACCCTAAAAAGGTCAATGTTGTCTTATTTCCGTAAGAATGTTTTAGAAGTAGGCACTGGATACTATTTGTTGAACGAAGGAAGAGTGAATGGATGGATGAGAGTGAAGATCTGACTGGGAAGCTGGACAGAGTTCAGGGCCTGGCTTTGGCTGGCGCTGTGACAGGATGAGAAGGTCCCCTTACGCCTCCAAGGTGCCTGTGCCCAGATGGCCCCAGCCCGGCTGTGCCTACGGGTGGCATTGCGAGGTGGGGCGAGGAAGTGTCAGGACAGCATCCAGCCTGCCCCAGCCCTGGTTTGGTGTGGGATGTCCTGGCCTCAGCTCCCTGCAGCTGAGACCTCAGAGCCCCCAACCAAGGGGCAGAGAGCTCCGTGTCACTGCCCGCGTCCCGTGCTGTCACAGCCACAGTGGCTCTGAGGGAGGAGATCAGGCACATTCTCTCTCGTTCTCACGCCACAGCAGAGGCTGCTGCTGCCTCCTCTGGCCTCGCCCTCCACTGAGCCTGCCCTGGCACCCTGAGGCTCTTCCTGGACCACACCCCGGCACTCTGGGCCCAAAGGTCTGGAAAGCGAAGGCCCCACACCCTGCCTATTCCTGGAGCAGCGTCCACCTCCTCAGCACCAGGGGACAGCTGGATATGCCCAGGACCGCTGACCACACTGGCAGCCATCATGACACCCCCTCTCTGGCGCCTTCTCCCTGCACCGGGGTACAGAGCCAGGATGCTGCTTCACCAGGCAGACCAGACTGCTCCCCTGCTGCAGCCCCACGCCGGGCTGTCACTCGGACACAGTCTGGCCTCAGGGCCTCAGTACATGCAGGTCTCTCTGCCCCCACCTGCCCCTCTTCCCATCCGGGGCACGGGCCCCTTCCCCGGGAGCTTTCCTCAGCACCCCACCCCAGCACATGCCCGCCGCCCTGAGCTGCTCCCTTGTGCTTCGCCACTGGCATGCGGTGCCCCGTTCCTCCCTCCAGGTCACTACTGAGTCAATACGAAGTTCTGTGGCTGAGAAGCAGGTGGAAGCTGGAGGACAAAGAGGCTATGTGGAAGATCGCCAAGGCTGCACCCACAGGACACTCGTTAGTGACAAAGGGAAAGCAGTCGCTTCACAGTGGGGACGCCTGCTTCACCACGAGATCCACGATCCTGCACTAGCAAGTCACAAATGACATGCGTGTCCCCGGTATGACCTAGGTGTCGCCCCTGGGGTGTTCCTGCCACAAAGCTAGACGGGAGTCTCATCGATGGAGGTGCACCCAGAGAGGGGCACCAGGAAGAGAACTGTCTTTAAAAATGTCCCTGACAGGGGTGAGGAAGGCTTGGGACGCTCCAGGTCAACAAGACTAGCCGGCCATCGCCACCAAGGTCAACTGGTCACCCAGGCCCTGGTCCTGGGCAGGGAGAAAGCGTCTGTCGCCTGCCGTAAGGGCATGAGGGACAGGCAGTGGATGGAAGATCTGGGGATGAGAGTCCTGCGCAGATGTGGCTCCCTGCCCCTGGTCATTGCACTCTCGTTATGTAGGAGAGGCCCCTGGGTTTGGGAAACACACCCTGAAAGTTTTAGGGGTGAAGGAAAGAGGTGGGGTGTGGGAGAGAGGGCGCCCGGAGAACCAAGTGAAGGGTGTCTGTGCAT